AGGTTCGATTTCCCGCAGGAGTAAACTTGTACAAAAATCCGGGTGATGCTGGAGACCCACCTGTATTTCTATCGCCAAGGGAATCCCTGGCATATTGCCCAATGCGACAAACCAGTGGAGCGAATTTAACCAGTAATGGTGAGGACTCTTAAAAAAATACAGTAAGAACAAATCGAGCAAATCGAAATAGTTCCTCCTTGCTCGTTCTCGGTCGTCCAATTTTAAAATTTAACTAACGAAATTTATTTTTTACACCTTCTTTGTTAAGTAATAGCAAAAGTTGAAGTGCAAATAGAATAATTCTGAATCCATTAATTCATTATTCAATAAATTAAATTAAATTAGTATAAAATAAAATTACAAAGATTTTTTCAATTTGTATCTTTTTTTTGTACTGAAAATTATCTCATTGGTATAAAAAAAAAGGCTTATTTGATATGTCTTGTAAGGTACATAATTTCTTGTTAATGCATTCTTCTTCTTGCATTAATCATTTTAGGATTAACTTCCATATTGGATAATGGATCTTTTTATCAGAGAGCTATTTGGCAAAGAAATAAATTACGATTAATGCTCATTATTTTTGTTCAGACTAGCAATTAGTAGGATGAGAAATTTTTGTCAAGAAATCATATGGGAGATAGGAATATGGGTGGAATGGTGTGTTTTTCATATCATCTCAGGTTTTTTGAATAACAGGATATTCGCTGAAGGCTTCTGTTATAACCCTCTATAAATTTAGTGGGAATAGTGAGATGAAGCAAAGTTCACTCCGTTGTTATCTAAGAAATCTCCATTATAGCTCCTTAGAGTTAAAAATTTAACGAAAGTTCGAGAAGATAATATCTGAGCTATTTTATCTTAAGAAAAAAGTAGCCTCTAATATCAAAGGAATTTACTATGTTCGAGAAATCGAACTCATTGTATTTGATATTGGTCGAAACAATGCATTCGTTGAACCATTCTGTTTTCCTGTAAAAATGATAAACTTAAAAAAAATTTTCCTCACTCTCTGTGGGTGCTAATGATCATCCTTAACCTCGGAGCCAGAGATCTGATATTGAAGGTTCTGCGCAGTATTTTAACTGCTTCTAGCAATGCACTTTTTTGAAATATAAATGATTGTTCCTGGAATTCAATGCCACTTTTTTTTTATTTTATGAGGCACAATTCTATTTGCACCAATTATCATTCGAATTAATTTGGCATTAAATAAAATATAAAATCTGTTAAATATGGTCATTTTGATACAATTTTTAAAATAGTTTATTAAAATAAGATTTTTTACGCTTTTAAATCGCCTTAAAAAATTATTGCAAAAAATAAAACAAAAGAGTTAAATTGAGCGTAGATTCATGCAGATTTACGAACATCATTGACATATAATCTCTTACGTATATTCAACAACTTTATTTCTTAATGAACTAAAAATCATTAGTTGCTATGCTTATGTTTCCAGAAAAAAAGCGATGCGGTAAAATCTCATTCTATAATATCCTCAAAACTCCTATTATAATCCTACAAAAAATAATGAGAATAATGAGATGGCGCAAAGTTCTCTTCTCTGTTTGTCTAAGGAATCTTCGAATTTTTTGAACTCCTCAGGCCATTCATCTCTTTTCCAGTTATGACTCATTATGTTGGGAGAAGCCAGTTCATAAGGGTTAAATTTGTTATCCAATTTTTCTTGCCATATTCTGTAACTTTGCCGATTATGCAACTATCTCAAAGTTTATTATACGCCCAGATTGTTACAATTAATGGCTTTTGCATACTATCTGTCAGGAAAGTTCACGAATTTCATTCAAATTCAGATTACCCATATTTGTTTACAGTTTATGATAAGAAAGGAACTCGAATTATTCATTTTTACACTTTTTCTTCTTCTTCTAATAGCTCTCACTATTACTGGATAGGCTGGCTCCAACTGCTATAAGGTTAAGACGCTTCCAAGCGGCGCGGTCTGATGCTATCATTAACAATAATAGAAGCTATTCCTTTTTCCATCGTCTAACTCCATATATTACTGGTCCACCGATACGTCAAAATCTTTTCTGACCGTATCAGTCCAGGTCTTGATCGGTCGCATAGTTGAATACTGTAGGGGAAAACCCTTACATCAATTCTTATTTCGAAGAAATCTGTCAGTTCAGTTCGCCATATATACAGACTTACGTCGACGTACATTCAGAAAATGCCTTTATGAGTCGGATGATGATTTTCTCTGCAACACCGTGCGTTCTATCACTCTCCAAAATACCGCTCTAACAACTGAATCTAGGCCAGCCGCAAAGTCGATGAAGCACATGACAGTGGGTTGCAAATATCTGAAGCAATGTTCCAACCCACCTTTTTACACCTTTTTTCCATTAAGTATTCATACCTTAAGAGAATATTTAGCTGGCTGGTGCACTTCATTAATGCAATATGTCCAAGCATTTAAATTTCGGGCTTTGATTCCTTTTGCTTCATTTAGAAATCCTCGATTGTATAAAGCGTGGGCACTTATTGGACTTTAGTGGTTGCATCTTGAACAACTATTTTTAATTTTTATTTTCATAATTTTGTTTGATAATTTTATTTGATAATTGATAATTTGTTACGAATTCATGATCCACCACTTTAATACCAGTTTATTAATCTTTTTGTGTTGTCTTATCTTTTTGATTTGATTTTCGATTTAATTACCAAAGTTTTAGGATAAATACATTGTTTTTCATTACGACATTACAAATCGCATATTTTAACTGCTCACATGTAAAATATAAAATAAACAGACGAACCACTGTCAAGGCAATCCAACTAATCGTAATTTTCCATCGTTTTTTATTATTATAAAAATTTGGTATGTCCGATAAACAAATCTCAAATTTTTTTAATTTTTTAAATTTTTCATCTTCTTTAATATATTATATATTAAAAATTCTGTCCGATAGATACTTTTATCAATCAATCGAATGCAAAGGAAGTATTTTCGTATCAGATATCTTATCAATGAAAAAATAAAGAAATGACGTAAATTTTAACAAATTTCTAAAATTGAATCGTAATATTTGAATTAGCCTTTTTTAATTTTAATTTTTTCGTTTATAAAACCTTATTTAAAACATTTTTCAAATATTTTTTTGTTAATAAGCACAATATTTTCAGTTGATTTTATTCGTTAAAAAAAAATCATACAAAAATCATTCATTTCAAGTCACTTTTAGTTGATTGCATCAAATATTAAATATCAATGATATTATTTTATATGAAAAGAAAAAAAATTTGCAAATTTTTGCTAAGCATTTTTTTAAATATAATTTACTCATCTGCTAAAGCTTTATCCGATTTAATTTTTTAGTTATAAATGCTCAACATGAATAAACCTCGGTAACCGTTCATAATATTTGTTAAATAATGGTTTTTACTCATTAATTATTTAAAATTCTCAAAATTTTATTTTCATCAAATTAATTAAATGTTTGAGCAATGAAAAAAGTGACTGAAACCTCTTTTTGCCAATAAATATTTAAAAGTTAGCAAACCTATAAGTTATTTGCCTATAAAAAATTTATTTTATAAAATAATATAAAAATGAAAATAATTGAATATGAAAATTAATTCCTTAAGCGTTTAAAGATCAGCAACTATTTAAAAAAACTTTTGAAAGCCTAAAAAACTAAGAATTTGAGGTGAAATTTTTTCAAGCCAAAAAATTTAAGGAACTTAATTTTTCGAAAGTCGTAATAATAGAGAACAAACTTATTAATCCATTATATATATAAATGAAGCAAAAAAAAAACTATTACATGCAAAAATCCTAAAATAGTGAACTAAAAAAAAAAGCGAAATAAAATTTATAAAATCAAAATAAGCGAACATAGTGAGTAAGAAAAATTTGTGAGAAAAAACACAAAATACAGAAAAACTAAATGCAAAAATTGAGTCGGTTTTTCCATTAAATTGGTTTTTCCATTAAATTTTCCGAGCCTTTCTCATCATTAATATTGATGATCGATAATAGTTGTAATTATGAAGAGTATCGAAAGGAAAAAACTGTTCGAGATAGCCGACGAACAATTCTGTTCTTTTACTATAAATATCGTAAAGCATTATAAAAATTAGAACGATTTTAATTCCTACTAGAAAATTATTAAGGAAGCTTATTTAATTTCTGATTTTCTTTTGTTTAGGTTGGCTTCAAGATAAATAAATATATAAATAGATAAATAAATATATGATAATATTTGATAATTATATAAAAATAGATAGATAAATACTTCCAGCTGTGCTCATTTAAAATGGGGAAGAAAAATCCATCTGTTTTATCGACTCCATTTCAATATTTCCTCTTCCCTTCCTTCTTCTAATACTATCTGATCATTCCTGGTTTGAATCATGATTGACACTACTTATCAGAGAAAATATAGATAGGCCATTACTGATCCGATTTCACTTTTAGTGGAAAATTTATTTTTATCATAGGACAGGAATAAAACCCATATATTATATTATATTATAATATAATATAATATAATCTATAATGAAACCTCCCGCTAAGCTACAGGAGTATAGGCATTGTTCAGATTTCATGAGCTGTGAACAATCCTTAATTTCATTTTACTTCATTCAACTTAAAATAATAAAATACCATATTTATAATATTCGATATCTTTTGCTTCCCTCCACATTGCGCACTCCTTGACTTTTCTCCTTTCTACTGGTTGCATCTTAGATCCGCTGCGCAAATACATCCATTTTTTGGTTTCACGATATTCTGGCCATTCCTCGAATCTCTTATCTTCTAGAATGGGCTTTCTGAAAATTATGAGCTTTATTAAATGATTGATCGCTTCTCAACAATATTTCTCAAATTCATATCTGCTCTATACTTATTATTTTTAAATTATCAAAATTTTCTAAATTTTGACACAATAATTTTAAGGGTGAAGAAATTTCTTATCAATATTTAAGCATTATATTGCTAGAATTTTAATAAAATTTTATAATTTAAACAATTAAACAAACCCATATATTGCAAAGCTTTTCCAATATTCCACAATTTTCTCGCTAAACAATTTTTCTGCCCTCGTATAGCCAGCAGAAAAATTGTAAACTGGTGCACCAAACACATATTCTATTTCGTAACCATGCATTACGCCTGTCCATTTCGGCCATGGATTAACACTTCAAAAATATTATATTCGCAGTTTTATATTATATATTGACTTTAAAAAATACAAATACTTAATGATATTTAAGAAAATTTCTCATTCAATTTAGCTTGTACAATATTAATGAAATTATTTTCCATAAATTTTACCTAGATGGCTGATCAAAGTAATAAATGTAAACGTTGCCAGAGGCATCCATTTGGTCGGCTAACCATATGCTATCGCAAGTGAAGAAATAATCACCAACCATCTGATTCACCTAAAATTTACCTGAATTATAAATCAAATACTTTAATGATATAAAATTAATTGAGAATTTGAGCTAGAATGTTTCGCAACCACCGATTAATCCCTCAAGAAATATATATAAATATGTTTGAAATATCAGATTTTTTAATTACTGATTACTGATTAATGAAATGAATGATCAATCAAAGTGGTCAAGTGGAGTACTAATTCGACCATTGGATTTGCCTTGTATGGCTTAATAAGAATAAAATTATCATTAAAAATGAAATTCGAGGATTCACTTATATCTTTAATTCTAAGTCGCTCCGGTGATTGGGGTGATCGCACCCTTGCAAAAAATGTAGTTAAGCAAGTCAAAAATCTTAAGAATAATATTAAAGAAGGTAGAGAAGGTAAAGAAGGTGATGCAATTCAATACGAGAATAAAATGAAGAAATTATCTAAAAATAGGCTTTTACGAAATTTTCGCTTGCTTATGGAATATTTTGTAAAGGAAAGTAGTAATTTTGAACCATCAAAGATTTTCATAGAATTATTTCTTCATTGCTAATAATTTTTTGCTAATAAATTTTTTTTACGCCAAATATGAAATATGAAATATATTTAAATTTATCGATATTTAAATATTGAAAAATTTCATTTTAAATTATCGTTTCATTTTTTATTTATATTTTTTATTTATATTTTATAAATTTTATAAATGTTACTAAATTTACATTTTATATCATTTTTTCATAATTTAATCTAATATATCATATTTTTTAAATCGCTTTAATGTTTATAATGCATTAATTATAACCATATTCTTCTATTTGCTACGATATTTTCATAATTTTCAATTTTTTTTATTTAGTGCAATTTTTCTATTATTTCTTTTAACTAATATTTATTTGCCCTTCTGACATTTTTAAGAGATGAGATTAGTGGGTGTTGCTTTTCATCTTGGAGCATCGATATCGGAAGTTCTATTCCAGTTAGAAATAGACTTGCCATTCGAAAATCCAGTTAGTGGCGAATAATTTCTTTCCTTCCAAAATTTGCCCTCTCCGACAAAACAGAATCTAACCGATAATGTGGCCAGAAATTAAGAAAACAGATTTCCAATAGGCAATTGACATCCATTTGGACAAGGCGTGGATGGTTATCGCTTGAGTCCTTATATCCATAGATATTCTAGCCTTTCATATTTTTTCTTTTTTAGGCCAAAGATTTCCCACATGAACACAGAGCCAGCTCACATTTATCCGAATTCCATAGAGCAGTTCTCCCAGCTCGGCGTTTTGATATTCACTCATTTCACTTATATTTATATCTGCTATATTTTTTATTTATTTTAATATTTCTACCATTTTAGTATATCTCTTTATTTGCTGAAGAAATTCACATGCAATAAATTATTCGATTGTGGTCCTAGAGAATGAAAAAAACCACTATTATTTGGTTCCTGGCTGAATTTTATGTCCAATTATTTCTGTTCATCATAGCCAATTGGTATCTGTCATTGACTTGTCCAAGGCTTCCGATACTGCTTCATATATAAATTTTTTGAAAATGCCAATGATTTGGGTATTGTGTGGGCAGAATTTTTTAATTAGATTTTTAATTAATAATCGTTTTCAAGCTCTTCCCTTATTAATAACTTTTTTTTTCAATCGCTCTACATTGGGCTTAGTCTGCACCAACTTAATTGTATTGGTTCTTAATACTCAACGTATTTATTATTGATGTTATCAATTTATACAGATAACTATAAAATTTATTGTCCATATCGGTTATCGGTTTATGTATCTGCTTTGTAGATGGGTTCGATTAAGTTTGTACATGGGAAATTGGGTCATCTACAGAAAAATCTTGCATGATCCTGCATTTTCCTCAACCTCCGATTCATCCAATCCTCCGATTTTCCTCCGATCCAATTTTTATTGGTAGCGTTCAAGTGGTGTGCACAGCAATTCAAAACTTAATTAGTGTCTGATAATAATCTTAACATCGATTTGGCTTTAGTCAAAAAAATCACCAAAAATCCCAAGTTAATTGCTTAAATTTTTTTGAAATAAATCAAAAACCCAAGGAGGGCAAAAAGATATCCATAATTTCAAAAGAAACTTCATATTCCTTATTTCGAATTGCAATTTCTTCGCCTAAAGAGTAAATCAGTAAATTAGTCTAATCAAATTGACTAAAAGTTTCCAAAAACAGTTTTTTTTTTTGCATTGTTTAAATTCAAATCATATCACCGATTATAATTATAAAGCGAAAAATAATTTAGATACATTAAGATTCATAAATTATTCAGCCAACAGAATTAAATAAGAATTTTGCTTATCGGTGCTCTTTTTAAATTTGAACAATATTCAAAGTAATGGCTTAAAGAATATGCAGGAATAGCCTATCTACAGCCTAAAATTATCGCATATAATTTCTTATAACTTTCAACTAATAAATAATAAATCGAATAAATCGAACCTAAGTTTGCATTTCACAGCAATATTAAAATTAAATATTAAATTAAAATTAAATAATACGCCTATTTTCTATGATAAAATACGTCTTTAGTCCATTTTGACTAGAATAATTTCAATTTCTACCTATATTTATAGAATTGCAAGACAATTCGCCCTACTCATTAATATTTTTTTTTTAATAAATAAATAATTACCAAAAATTCTATGAAAAAAAAACGAGTAAAATAAAAAGTTTTCCATCCCGCAAATCGCTCTTTTACCACTCTCTTTTAATGCATAAGAAAGAAAATATTTGATGAAATTTTTTAAACCTAATGAAAACTAACCTGGTTGGCGAAAAACTCTACTTTATTATCGCCGTATTCGCATTGTTGATCCAAATATATAAAAGCGGCAGCATTTTGAACAATATTAGCATGCGCATGAAAAGCTGTTTGAACGCATTTCAAGAAATCTTCCCTATTCAAATGTGGTTGCTCTTTGCGATTAAAATATTCAGCAAGATTGAAAATATTCCAGAAATTGCCTTTAATATATTCATTAGTGATTAATGGATTCTATTTTTAAAAAAAGGAAAAAAGGATCGACGAAAAATAAACGCTAATTTTTATATTATTAATCTCTAAATCTTGTCGATTAATGAATTTATGTTAAAATTTTTATCCTTTTTATTTTTATATATAAGTAATAATTATTTAAAATAATCACCTTCGTCGTGATTAATTCCAATCATTATATTAATATTTTTATTGAAATTTCCTTCTCGAAGAGCGACTAAAGCATCATAATTTTTAAAAAAATTTCGATCTTTTGAAACGATAACGAAAGGAAATTCAAGAAATTCTAAATTCGACCACATATTACCAATTAATTTAGATGGCGGCAATTCACGTAAACAGTTGATGGTGTCTTGCAACTAAAATTTCATTTTGTACTGATATCTGATATCTGATGACTTTAAAGAGTTGATCATTGGCTATTCTAAATTATAAAGGAAAGGAAGAAAAAATCGTCTAGTGGTAGGTTATTTTAAAGATGACGATTAAGTATCAGTGGTTCTCATCCTCAAAGATTCTCATCTTTTGATGGCAATAAAGCTGTCAAGCTGTTAAAAGTAAAATTCGAGTAGCGTTTTCGACCACTCAGCAGGGCTATCCAAACCGGAAATGATAAAAGCCAAAAAAAGAAGAATCCTCTGATAATAAAGAAATTGTTTCAAAAAAAGTTGGAGGGATTTAAAAAGTGATTCAGTGCTTTTTAAATAATGAATACGTTAACTTAGTTATAGTTATATATTTCCATCGCCATTATTTCCATTAAATTTTTATGTTCATTATTTTTATGTTCATTAATTATAAATATACATAAAATATATAAAAATATCATAAAATATTAAATTCGTTAAAATTCATAAAATGATCAAATATGCACGAAGAAAGTAGTAAATAAAATAGAGTGGAGTTCCAAATATAATAAAATGAGATAGCAATATTTACTTGATCTTTCCAACAATTAAGACTTTTGGCTAGTTTATGACTTTTTTCAAGCGCACGTTTTGGTGATTCTAAAGACCATTTATTATCTAGACTTCCTGATTGTAAAATTCCATTACGAAAAAGATCACGACTTCCTGGAGCGATCATATGAGCAACGATTGACGCAGCTCCAGCTGATTCTCCGAACAATGTTATTTGTGTTGGATTACCTCCAAAGGATTCAATATTTTCTTTAATCCATCGCAAAGCAAGTTGCTAAATAATCATTGTTATTAAATTCAATAAATTTATATAAAATTCAAAAATTTTTGAATAAAAATCTCCAACTAGAATTCTGAAAAATGTTATTTGAACGAACCTGGTCCAACATACCAATATTTCCCGGAGCATCTTCATGATTGAAATAAAGGTATCCGAAAGGCCCAACGCGATAATTTATATTAATTATCACTGAATTGGTGAGAAGAGATAACGCTTTACCGTCATACAATTGTAGTGAAGCGCTTCCAGAATAAAATCCACCACCGAAGAGCCAAACCATAACTGTTAAATTGCTAAAATAGGTGTACTTTATAATCATTAAACTTCTACTGTTCAACAAAGTAAAATACCATGAAATTTTCATTATTATGAATTCTTTAAATTAACTAGATTAAAAAAAATTTTTTTAATAAGCTAAATTACTTTGATAACTGAATGATAATTGATAACTTGATAACTGATAATCGCATGCAGATTTCACAGTTATAATTTAATTATTTTAATTTATTCACTTCAAAGAAGTGTATTATATATAGATATGCAAATTTCTAATTTACTATAATGAGCACTCTTCATTTTGAAATTCGAAACTTTAACTGCCAATGAATATTGCAAAATATGCACTTTAAAATTTTCGGGATATTAAACCAACACGAATATAATTGAATTTTATTGACAGAACTGGATTTATTGCTGAAGATGAAACAATGTGAACAGCAGCAATTCAAACATTCGATCGTAGAAAAATTTATTGTCATAGAGCGAAATCAACAATGGTTTCTCATTAACACATTGACACATTTAATTTCAATTATTTTGCAGAATTTTAGAAATTATTTAGATATTCAAAATAATGGTTATAAAACTTCTAACAGCTCTCGCTGGTTAGATTGGTTCCGCTGGCTATAAGCTATTCGGTCTGACGCTATCGCTTACAATAATAGAAGCCACTCTTTTTTCCATCTTTTAAATCTATATGTTGCTGGTCCACTTTAAATCTTTCCTGACTGTATCAGTCCAGGTCTTCGTTGACCACCTCGCTTTTGATGCCAACTATCACAGGGTTTAGCATACACTTAACGAAATACATGTCAACTCCCGTGGTGAGCGGCAACATGTCATAACTGGCGAAGGCAACGCCGTGTGACGATATTATTAATGTAAGTGGTATTTGAGCGAGAGAGGATGCAATACTTAGAATTGATGAGGTAACATGAATTTCCATGTAGCAACATGTATCCACGAAAAATATTATATATTGCATTTTGCATATCCATATTCTTCATTTTTCATTCGATTACGAATATTTTTAAAATGAAAAAATTGTAGTAAAAGTTGTAGTAATTGTAGTAGTAAAAATTTTTACTCGCACGATAAATTAATAAACTTGTTTAAGATATGAATTTATAAATTTAATTTATTATTTCTTAAATCTATTTACTTTGCCTCTGCTGGAACCCATATATTCATATAGAGGCAATCTTCCTTAACTTCTGTATTTGCATTCCACATCGCTATTCCCCAAAATGTTGTTGAGCCATTAAAACTGTCTTTACCCTTAAAATTGGATAAAAATTAATTAATTGCTCATAATGTAAGTTCTGGAGATTCATTTTGGTGTCGGATAAAGCTTAAATTCACGCCATTTTGTCTTCACTAAATCCTGTAAAATTTACAGTTAATACTATATTTTAAATATTTGACAAATATAATTTTAGAATATTTTATCAAAATTTTTGATGCAAATCCAATTTTAATCTTAAAGAATTTATTTAAAAATAAAGAGTAAAATAAATTAATATTCGTTTTTCATAAATTGTTAAAATAACTTCAGTCAATTTCATCTTTTGATTCAAAAAAAATGCTAAAAAATCGAATTTCTCACCTGGTAACAAGCAGGAGGTAATTTGACTGCATCAACTGTATGACTCCATTTTGCAATTGGCTTAGGCGGTTTAAAACGATTGGAACCGACTGGTGGTTCAGCGAATGGCACTCCTAGAAATGATCGAACACGTCTATGCAAAAATATTGATTCTGTCCCACGAATTTTTCCCAAATTTGTTTTCAGCTCGATAGGCACATGTTCCTGGTGCAACGATATGCAGAAAAATAGCTGCAAAAAACACATTTTTTAAAAATAAATAATAAAATTATTGAGAAGGATATTATTCGAATATTTCAAAAATATGATATAAAAATGCCATATAGCAGAATCTATTATCAAAATCATAAAAGTTTAGAATAGTTAATAATCAGTTATCATTAAATTGCCTGGATTTACTAATAATTAGATTTGTCTTAATCAATTCAATTCAAAGCAATACCCAAGTTATTGTACAATTTAAATTAAAATTTGCACTCATTACATTAAATAGAATCTAAAATACGGTTTTTTCATTATCAGTTAAAGCGAATTCACCCAATTACGATTAACTGGACTCCTGACAAATAGTTTACTTGAACAAATAGTAGACAGTTATAGACTTTCATGAACGGAAAGTAGATTAAATATAAGTAGATTACTTTTTTTTATAGCTTTTTTATTAATTGCTCGTAATTGATCGTATAATATAAATCTAAATATTTCCTATCGGAAAATCTCTTTGCTTGATTAGAATAACAATAAGTGAAGAATAGAATATACCTTGAAAAGTAAGATAATGGCAAATGCCGAGGAGAGAACCATATTCATCACCGATTCATTCGAAAATTATTGAGATAATAACAATCGTAAATATTGACCGAGTAATCTGAGTAGAATTTTTATTCAAATGTTATGGATCATATTACATATCAAAAAAATAAGAATAAGTGATACAATATGCAATATAAAGTATGCTAAAGCATGAAATAAAATTAAGTGAATGGAAAAAATTTTCCAATTTTTAAATTTTTAAATTTTAAATTTTAACTAAATAGAATAATAAGAAATAATTCGCAAATTAATATAATTTTAAATGAATGAAAAACGTAGAAATTTAAAAAAAAAATGAAAATTCAGTGATAAAAATAAAGAAAATTATTAAGTAAAGCGAGAATAAATATCGAAAAACAAAGGCTTACAAAAGAAATCGCAAATAGTTTATATAAAACAGGAATTTCTTTCATTTTTGTAATTCAGCTAATTCAACTTTTATTCTTATTTTTTATTTTTTTAAAATATAACATCAGTAAATTTTATACTGAATAAAAAAGTTGGAGAAAATTTAATACAACGGCTGGAATTAAGATGATTTATCTTCATGAATGCATATAACATTTATACATAGCATACCATCGAAAATTAAGGTTTGAGTTTGAATCTAACTGATGCACCGCGCTTAGTCGGCAGTTACCGGTATTTCTAACGTCAAAGCACTCCCTGGCATATTTTCTAGTCTGGTAAGCCAGCGAATCAAGTCTAATAAACATTGGCGAGTGCTTTTAAAATACTGCAATTTTTGTATGCACCGTTACTGAGTTGGTTGACTGCACTGACTCTACTAGCACGAAGATTTCCTGCCAGAGAAATGACGACTTGACGACAGCCATTCGCACCATTTTTATTTTTAATAACAATATTTTTTAAACTGTGTTTGCCTACAAAGGTCGACCAAATCAACCAAATACTTTTCTACTTATAGTCGAAACAATACACCAAACGAGTCGACCTATTCTGCATAATCGTGCATTCAATGAATTCAGCGAAATTCAGCCAGTGAAATTTACCTATCGTATATTTAAAAAAAAAAAAACTTTCACATATATTTAAGATTGGTAAAACTGCTTCATAAAAAAGGAGTAATGTTCGATGAAATTCGAAACAAATCGAAAAAATAAAGAATTATGAAAAATTTTATAAAAAATTATTAAATTTTAGAATTTTAAATTCAATTTTGTAATTTAATATAATATAAATTCATAATTCAAATAAAATTAATAAATGCATAAAACTAAAATCGCATTATTCCATTTGCTTAGATAGAAATTTTTAAGGCTCAAAATGCATCGATGAGAATATTTCAAACAAAGTAAACAAATTTTCATGAAACCAAATGAATTTGAATAGTGAATTTTATAGAGAAATCGAATGTCGATATATAAATTGCACAGTTATAGACTGTTTATTCATATGAAAGCTGAATAATAGAAATTTTGATAGAATAACTGATAACTGATAAATGTCCGATAATTTCTGAGATAAAAAATATATCCCAATTAAGAATATTATAATTTAATAATTCGGTTTGTTTATGAAATATTTTTGCGATTCTCATTGATTTTTTTCGATTTATCGAAATGACAATTTTTGCATTAAAAATTTATATTTATATCATTTCATTTTAAATCTTTCGCTTTTTATTAAATGATAGAAGATTTTTTTTAAAAAAAAGGATTAAAAATATTCATCGAAAAAAAGGACTCATTTCGCAAATAATCTCGGTTATTGAAAATATTTTCGTGAATTTCTAATTGAAATGGCAAAACAATTATTGAAAAATTATTTAATCGAGAATAATACGCATCCAAATTCGTAATTAAATATTTTGATAAAATTTTCAATCATTACTGATAATTTAACTGCCGATTATTTGATCAGTTAAATCAGTTAGTCAGTCAATCACTAAGGGATAAAATGGTCGAATGGCGTGTTGTTTCGACTGTTTCGATTAAGCCATCATTATTTTGATTCCTTAAAGAAGTCTCTCATTAAAAGCAAAATTGTGCTACTATAAGCTTATTTCTATTTCCTCAATTTACTCTCTGCTAATGGGGTTTAATACTAATAGCCAGCGGAGTAAACCAAATGGTGCGTGTTTTTGCGAGAAGAAGAATTAGGCATAAAATGAAAGCATTTCGTATAGTAAAAAAAAAAGCTATAAAAGTTGCGAATGTGAACAATTAAACTTTAAAATAAAAAAGCAAAACAGTGGAAAAAATTATATATAAGAGACATAATAGATTTTCTTTTGCGTTCGACTAATTTATTTATTTACCACTTTTATTTTTCATTCAAAATTCATTCATATCATTAAATTTCAATCAAATTCTAGTAAAATTCATTTAATTTTTTGAGTTTATCAATTATAATACAAAAGTTATCACTTTTTAACATCTTATCACCTCTTTTAAGATAGAAATTAGTATGAGGAACGGATTTCTTTTTTTATTCGCCATAAAAACACGCTAAATTAAGCCTTTGATTAAAATTAAATGTGAAATGAAAATTCGAGTACAATAAATTGAGTTGGTAAAAAATATTGCAGAAATGATAAGAAAATTTTCGAATAAAAATGTCACTGTCACATAATATTTTCATTTGATATTACAATTTGATATTTCCGACCTGTCATATAAGCGATTATTAAAAACATTCGCAATATATGAGGTTATTGAGCCTTATTTAGCATCTGAAGAGAACAGGCAACATCGCTTCGTTTCCGGCACATTTCTCATTAAAAGTGAAAGTGAATAAAAGTGGGAAAAACAGGGAAAAATAAAAGTAGGAATCGGTTGGCGTATATCCCCATTTATAAGTGGTAAGAGAATTTTTTTTATTAAAAGAACCCAATCAAAATAAAGATGGTGATGATTATTACTATTATGAAAATGATGGCTAATCAGATAAATTAATATTTCGTTTTTCTGATAACTTTGCTTGTTGAAACCTTGATAAATAATTTTAAAAACATGATAATATGATATATATGATGATAAGATAAAACTTCACTAGTTTCACAAATCTAATTTCATTGATAAACAATACTGAAGAATGGTTGTAGTATTAAATAAATATATGAAGGCGGCAAAATTATTGGATCTTTCTTAAGTAAACAGAATATCAAGATCAGGATTATTCATCAACCTTGTGATCAGTTATTTGCTTTTTAACTAATCTTGAATAAATCAATTATCAACTTCTCTAGAAAGAGCTTAAAATGAAAGTATTGAAACAAGAGAGAACTTTGTTAATTTATTTTAAAAATATAAATAAAAAATTCCCTCTTTTTTATTATCACCCATCATTATTATTTTCTTTCTATTATCAATTTACTTCTAAATTTATTATCTAATATCACTTATTTGTTAATAAAATGATAAATAAAAAAATCTTAAAAAAATGGAGAAAATCTAAAATTATTATACTGCGGAGTGCGAATATATTTAGATTAAGCAGCATCATAAATAATTCTGTTTATTTTTATCATTAAACTAGATACTTATGTTCCAAAAACTATAAACTATAGGTAGGTAATTTATTATCCAACAATTAATACAACGCGCCACAACATTTTTAATGCCAAGTTTATTCTTCTCATGTTGCATTAAAAACTGATTTCAACTCGTTGATAATCGTTATAAAAAATCTAAAATCCAAATCCAAAGCCAAATAACCAATGATAAATCGAACATTTTATATTAAAAAGTTTTAGACAAACTAGTTTCATTGTAAATTATTGAAATAAACAATAATTATTTTGGCAGTTATTCTATAACGATGAATCCGAAATCTTATCTAATTAAATAATATAAATTTCTATTAGACTAGCGATGAATAATTCATACGGTAACAATAAATATAAAATATAGAGATTTGAGACAAAATAGAAATAGGAACAAATTAAATTTCATGGAACTAGGGAAATTGAAGGTGAATGCTGGCGACTCACCTGTACTTCTATCGCCAAGAATTCTCCCACTCCCTCCTTAGCATATTTGTCCAATGCAACAAATCAGCTGAGCAGTTTAACCAGTAATGGTGAGGATTTTTCAAAAAAAAAAGGAAATTGAAGAATATCTGAAGAAAATTCAAAATTAAAATGAAAGTATAGAATGGTCTTCTAGTATAATTAATTCGCATAATGTCAAGTCAATGTAGATTTTTTGCATGCCCGTTTGAGAAGAATAAATTTGGTGTTTAAAAACCTTGTGGTATTAGAGACGTCGTAAAACCAAGGGCATTTAAACTAACAGTGAAATCAATCAAATCAAAAATGGTGAATTTCAAGAATGTAAAATTAATGAAAATAAAATAATAATGATGAAGTAATAACTACCAAAAATATTTTAAAATTATATAAAAGAGAATATTTAACGTTTTTGAAAAGTAAATTTATTGCAGAAAAAAAAAAGAAAAAAATTTAATATTATTTTCGTCAATAACTAATGCTTAATAAAATATGATTAAAAAATGAACGATTATTTTCAAATTGAGTTTCCCAAAGGGATTATTGCCTTTAGGCATAAGTGCTGCTTTTAAAAAAAAAATTAAATATGAAAAATAAATATAATCGCTGGGCGGAATTCGCAAATTGAAGTGAATTTGTCGAGCGAAAATTCACTCAAAAAAAAAGAGAAAAAAATTGCTTCATTTATATTGAAAAAATATTTCTTGCGATTATTTGTATAAAGCGAAATCCCCTTAAGGCTTCTAAAATTTTCAACAAAATTTATTTACCAAAATGGATAAATGTTTGTCGTTTTTTTTTTCTTTTCGCCAACTATGATTTTGATGAAAAATTTAATGATAATTTTTGATTAACTATAATTTTATCAGTAACGATGATTGCTACAATTCATTTTATCATTATTGCGGTTATTTTTAAATTGAAACGTAGAAAAGGTTTAAAAATTCATATTCGTTAAGAAATAAAGGAAATGCAGTTTTATTGCCTTTTAATCATTTTCGCTGTATTTTAGCTTTTCATTTGATTCTTTTTAAATTTAATTTTCTCCAAAATTGTTTTTATAAGATGAGACTTTCTTTCAACTGAAACTGACTAAGGAAAATGAATGTACATTGAAATATTAAAGAAATAAGCATAAGAGTGATGGGAATTATCATCGCACTTATTCATTCTCTATGAAAAGAAGTTGATTATCATTAATTATCATTGATAAATTATTGTTATTGGTAGATATTGATGAAATCTCATAGAATTGATATGTCAAGTATAAATATAATTTTTTTTGTAAAAGCAGATATAAAATAACGAAATCATTATTTCATTATTATGAACTTTGTGCTATAATTATGAACTTTGCTAGTTTCATGTTTGTTATGATTGATAACAAGTCACGAGAATTAGAAAAATCGAAAAAATTTGTTATAAATATATAAATATAAGAAAAAAAAATTTGATGAACTGTTTTTATCATATTTACAATATTTTTGTTTAAAATTCTCTAAAAAATTTCAACAAAGATCTGATTTGTTTCGTCTAAACAGACGAAACAGTTCTAAAATCGGTATCTTTATCACAGAAATAATCATTGATATATGTTAATTCAATTGATTCAGTTGAATTGCAAATAATTTTTCGTCTGCGGACGAAAGTATAGTATTTGAGAAAGAAAAAATAAATATTTGAGCATACTTCACTGGTTTTGAATCCAATTTACGATTTGCAACGAAAAATTGAGGCTTTTATTATGCTTATCATCTGTCAATTAGTCACTATATTATTCTTATCATTACTATATATTATCTTATCAGTGTATTATTCATAGCAAAAAAATTCTCTTTCTTTTTTCTCTTATTCTCTCTCTTTTTTTAGAAAGAACCATTAGTTTTTTATGATACAACAAGTCCAAGCCACTATCCAAATTTCATTTTTTAATGCCAACTGTATGAGTAAAAATAAAAGGAAAATAAATGTGGAATGGTTATGAACGTTAAAAAATATATGCGTTGATCAAATAGCCTTTCGTATTACTAAAATTCATATCGACTGAGTTGTCTATAAAATTTTCGTCTTAGCGATAAATAAATTTCGATAGCTCTTATAAAAATTCGAACGAATTTAGTAATGCGTTTTAAAAGAAGCTTTGATTAGGCAATGTCAAAATTTTTTAGAATTAGGAAGGCTATTTGCATTTATATTTATCATTTACGGTTTTATCATTTTATCATGCGTGAATATGCGATTTCTTTTGCCTCAAATTATGCAAATTTCACAGAAATTTTAAATTAAATTTAATTTATTACATTATATTAGTATTTATTGTCTTTAAAATACATTAAAATAATTATATGTGCCAATAAAATAAATAACTCTTTGTTTTATAATCATCCGTTGTTAATACGAATATTTCGGTTAGCTTATTTCGGTTTTGCAAAAAATACTTTTTTTTTCCTAACGATTTCCATTTTTAATTTTCGAAATATGAAAAAAAAAAAAACGATGAATTAGAATAATTGTGTATAATTTAATTAAATAAATAGTGGCGCTTACTTGACAATAAAACCCAACCTTAAGTTGTAATTTTTTTATTGGAGAGCAGAATGGTTCAGTGGGTTGTTGCTTAAATCGGAGCGCCAATGCTGAAGTTCTATTCCCGGTAGGGGTAAACTTGTTCAAAAATCCGGTTAATGCTAGCGTCTCATTTGTACTTCTATTGCCAAGAGACTCCCTGGCATGTTTGTCTAATACGACAAACTAGTGGAGCGATTCTAACCGATAACAATGAGAACTTCTAAAAAAAAAGAAATTTCTATAAAAATAATTATTCTTTAAGGTATTTAATGAAAAATTCACTTAATTTTACGAATAGATTTTAAATAATTTATTAATATATATTTTAAATTTTCACGTCTAAAAAAGCTTAATTCTGTGATTTTCATTCCATTCCGTTCTTTAAATTTTTAATGATTTAACGATTTCAACTTTTATTGTTTGTCATTTAAGACCCATTGAAAAATGTCAAGTTTGTAATCATGCAAAGTCACATTAACGATGTCATTAAGAAATCTAAAATAAATAAACATTAAGAGTTTTCGGCTTAAATTTCGCTTTTTCAAATAGTAATAAATATTTATTATTATTATAGTAATGAAAAAATTAAGGCAGAAATTAGCGCTCATCATTATTTCGATAATTCATTATTTTAATGGCATTTTAGTTGATTAAAATTATTTCATTAACTCGAAATTAATGAAAATTTCTTTTCTTTTTTTTATTTTTACGATATTATTTAGGTTAATTTTTTAAGTTTTTCCAATATTTTTTTCTTAAACATTTTCATAAATTCATAGCCATTACATTTGTGACGATTCAAATTTTTTTTAACCTTAGATTCATCTTACAGCAAAAAATGCGCAATTTACCAATCGACTAGAAACAAAGGTTTCTAACAAAATTTTATCTTCTAATATCTTTTCCTATAACAAACACGATTTTAGAGTGCTAATTAAAAAATAAAAAATGAAGCTGAACAAATTATTCACAAAGTTGATGCAATATTTCAGGATGTTCGGGATATTCCGCAAATAATAATTTTATGTGGAAGCGAATTATCGCCATAAAATATAAAATATATAAAATAATATACAATTTGTTCATGTTATTTTAAAAATAAATAAAATAAATAAAATAAACCTCAATGCATTCAGACTAATAACATTTTTAAATTAATAATTAATAAATTACATAATTTTCAAAATTCTATAAAAAATTATCAACTTAACCAAAAAATTCATTCGTAATATGTCAAATTTTTTGAATGATAAAATCCTATATTAAATTAAACAGCGTATATAAATATACAACTAACGCAAGTTTTTAGAGTTTACAATAATTACAATAATTTTAATCTTTATGAAATAAAGATTATGCTTAAAATATAGATTTTCAACAATTTAATACGATTTTCTTAGAAGTATGAAATTTGAAAAATATTCAAAACGCTTTTCAACAAAATGCTTAAAATATTTTTTCGAGAAAATGCAATATTTCGCACCATTAAATACTCGAGTAATTCATAAAAAATCAGAATAAATTATACGAAAATTATATCGTAAATAATTTTAAAAGCTCGATATTGTGGAGATAAAAATTGTTATAAATGGTACTTTAAAATAATTAATAATAAGAAAAAATATTTTGCGATATTTAATTTTATCAATACATCTAAGCAATTTCAGTCCATTATCGCTACTAATGTTCTCTATTAATTTTGATAAAAATTACAATCACATTAAAATTATAAAAAATCTAAATGGCACAAAATCGACGAAACAAAGAAATACCTTAAATGTAAAATTTAGACTTTATTCTTCAAATTTGAATCTAAAACAATTGTATTAGAAGCATAAATTAGTATAAGGAAGTTAGACGTATTAGGACGGGTTTAAGAATGAAACGACAAAAGAAGTGCTTTTGCAGACTTCAAATGACTTGATAGATTTATTAAATCTACGAGAAAAACATATACTATTATTATATTATATTCTAAATTTGGTCGGTCGAACGAAAATCTTATACATATTTATAAGAAAGATTTCCGACCAATATTTGAAGTTCTGAATATAAAATTTAAAATTAAAATTGATGAGGACCTTTGAATTATAATAATTATAAATGTACCATGCGAATTAAAATTTAAATTTTTATCAAACATTAAGCTGAGGCAAGAATTAGATTAATGCTGCCCCAAAAGCAGGTGGATTAAAAATTTGATTTGTCTATACTAAGCATGTAAGTATACTCAATCAGTCTTCAATGCACATAAATCCTATGCCCTCTCATGTGAATATAACTTACATCAGTAAATCAGCTAGATAACACTATTGATGCCATTAATATATGTAACAAATAACAGAGGGCCAATAAAAATTTAAGATAACTGGCAAGAAAAAAATAAGCAAGGCATGACATCCAAAATATGCCAGTCCAAAAATTAAGATGCAATTTTCAAGGCAAAACCAGTGAATATCTCCGTGTAAAAAAAAAAACCAAAATCCTCCATCATTGTGTAATAAAAAATCTGTCACAAATAGAAGAGTAGTGTATATCCTAATTAAGGTTTTAAAAAATTGATATTGATTAAGGAATAACTGAAAAGAACATATGATTGAAAAATTCATCATTTGTACAAAATTTTAGAACATATTTTTATATACCGATTTATCGCTCTTGGTTCTTTCTTGTGCCAATTTTCGAATGATTACCATTTCGGCATCTACCAAATTGGCTAACTCAGGTTTCACTTTCAGTAATCTTTTAAGGTCATCTTCTGCCTAAAAATAATGAGAAAACCAAAATCTTAGCGAATGAATAAAAATAGCTGGTTAAAAATGCATGAAACTACAACATAATTTATAATTTACAATTTTATGAAAAATATAAAGTTATTCAGATCTCATTAAAACTGATGACGATGATCAACTGATAATTTTAACCTTTTCCAGATCCCATACAGCAATTCTAGCTTTAGCTCGTCGAAATAATGCTTTCTCGTTAATCTCATCTCTTTTTAAAACTTCTGAGGCTGCTTCGATAGCTTCATAATATTGTTTCATATTGATAAAACATTGCGAAAGATTTAGATACAAAGGGATATTCTAAAACAGAAAAATGTAGAGATCAGTATAATATGCAAATAATATTACTGTTATAAACAACACCTGCTGATCGATTTCTACCCATTCAGCATCGCCTGGCTTTTCTCTTAGCAAAAGAGTGTCAATGCGTCCGAGGGCTTCTCGGTAGTTTGAAGAAGCACTATAAAAATCACCCTGAAATTATAAAATTATATTATAAAATTCTATAAAGTATCAGTAAAGTTGATAAAATAACTGACTTTCTTGAAAAATTCGTTCCCAGACTGTCTGAGTCGTGAAATGCTAGCCATTTTCTCAACAGGATTCAACTGCCATCCTTCAGGCTCATAACTTTCTGGTTGAAGGACATCGATTAAATGAAATATAAACCTAAGTGACTTAGGAGTTTTTGCCAGCTCATTCAACGCTGGATAACCTGTGCTAAATAAAATGCAACGTTCCATTAGATATTTTTATTTTGGAATATTTTGGAAGATTACTTGAATTAATAGATCAATGAAAGATGCAAATTTAGAACGAAATAATTAAACTAACTCTATGGCAAACATCGCACCGCAGTGTGAATGATGGTGTTCTTTGTTTTTCATTTCATTACCAGCATTTTTTGATATATCTCTCAAAGTTTTAGAGACATGTGGATACGAATAGAGTTCAGACTTGTCGATGTCAAACTGGCTAATCTGTGGAAAAATTTGTTAAAAATATCCTTTACAAAAAAATTATTCCCTGCAGGTAGTCATAACTATCTTCAACCTCGGATCCTCTACTAAAAGCCAGGAGGTTTAAGGTTCAGTGCGATATCTTAGCCATTCTTAAAAGTGAGCTCTTCTGGATAGAGATCTCTATTGTTCCTGAAACCTGCTGAAACCACTTTTCTTAGGGACATAGTTCCAAATGCTCAAATTATCATTGGAATTATTTTGGCCTTTACTTTTCATCTTCTTTTGTTCAACCTGACCTTGTCCTTTGGTCCTTTGATATTGCTATCACAAGTATTGATTTCTGAGCAATTTAATCAGCTGGTTAACTTCTTCGTTTTGTGCCCTCATCTTATTCCCCAGGTCCTCTCCAGGACCAAAATACATTATTATTGTTACTTTTCCTGATTTTATGTCACCTTACAATGACTATGGCATACAACAATTCATTAATTTTATAGTGGCAGAAGGAACTGTTGCGAGGATTCTATTAGCATCATCAAATATATTGTCTGGTGAGTGCCTCATTGAGTTGATCTGGATGGTTGATTACAATCAGTTTACTGATCATATATATATTTTATTAACTGCTTTGCTTTGCAGCAAAGATGTTTAGAAGGATTATTGCGTGTTCATCTCTTCTTTTATCTTCTTGCTGAACATTCTGGATATGAGGTGTAATGAAGCAGTCCATCGTCAATTCAGAAAGCAATCTGCCCTTTCCCTATGTTGAAGTATTAAGACACCGACTTTTCTCAGTTAGTGTAGACATAAACCTTTTACCATCCATAGTGTTCTATATACGTTTCATATAACTCCTTTGATCTATTATTATAGTACCATTCCCTCAGTTCCAAATTCTTTGTCTCCTTCACGTAAGTTTGTTCCAGTAACCCTTTTAATACCAAACTGCCCTGGTCCCAAAACAACTGGCGCTGTTCCAGTAGCCCACTAGTCAATAACTTTGTTTCCTCAGCCTCTGGTGTCGACCTTGTTGTCCAAGATAGCATGGCAAGCATGTCTCTACATTCTTTCATACTAAGATAGGGCAGGTAAAAGAGTCTTTAAGAGAGTCTTATTCAAGGATTCCACGGAAAAAGTAGGGGATTTCTGATTGCGATTCGAACCAAAACATCGTTCATTCTACACCATAATCATATATATATATATATATATATAATTCTATAAATATAAATATAAGTAATATTTTGGATCGCTTCCATGAAAATAATTTTATTTACAATCCAAAATATACGATATGATTTTATAATTTTATTAATAATTAATTTATTAATTTATCAATTAAACATAATTTAATTCGGAATACGAAAGTGGTTAAAAAAGGAAAAAAACCACCTCATCTACAAGCATTGTTTGTAAACACATTTCGAAAACTGGCAACTGAAACTTTTTACCAAATACTAATTCCATCGGCCTTCCGTAACCATCTGGATAGGGCTTCCTTGTATCATCAATCGATTCAAAACAATCTCTATAAATGAAATTTTAAAATTTATAATAAAATTTTTAAATAAAAATATCAAAAAAAATTCAAAATTTTTCAATATCATATGCAATCAAAAAATGTAATTATTGTAATTATTTATAATTATTGTAAATATTTGAAAAAACAACCTAGATTCAGGGAAACCCTCAATATTTGCATCATTTCGAGGACATAGAGCTTCGTAATGAAAAATTGCTTTAGTGCCTGCTCGATATTCAGGAAGAGTACCTTTCCCTGCATTGAGCACTTTCTTAGAAGTCTTAAAACGTTTATTCGAATCGGTCATTCACTTTTCAACAACTATCACTTTAATCTACAATTTCATAAATTATCAATTACCAATTAAGTAATAGCGAAAAAATTATTACCATAGCCAAAAATTTATTTATTTTTTGAAAAATCCATCGTGCAACTATTTTAAAAGAATTCAACAAAACGGATGATAAAAAATTTTGATTGGGATAAACTTTTATATAACTTGAATGTTCTAAAAATTATCCAAAATCTAACGTTCGAATCTTTCATTGAATACTATTAAAGCATTTATGATTTGTGATTCAACGTGTGATCGATGATCATTTGTAAAATTATTCAAATATTCAAAATCTGCAATTTCACATTTTAAGGAGAAAATTATTTGAAAAATTAGGAACAAATTTATAAAATTGTCTCTCTTCTTGTCGCATACATAAATAAATTTATCGCAATATCGACGAAGAAAAAAACCAATTTGATTCTACAAATTTAATTTCCATTAGATAGGTTTACATCTATAATTTATGAAAAATATATCATATCATTAGTCCATAATAAAAGAATATTAGACTAAAATCTCGATATTTAAACTTCAATAGCCCTGGAGGCATGAAACTTCAAACTCAGTGAAGAATCATTTAAATAAATAAAATGGTAAAAAAAAAATATTTGATGGATAATTACCATAGAAAAAATGAGACGCAAGACGATTAAAAATTTAGCAAAAATTCACTTTCACTTTATTGAGAACTGTAACTGAAATGCATCAATCAAGAAATGCAAAATTTTAAAAATTATATTTACCTATAAAAAAATGTTCATGAAATTAATGAAATAATTCCCGAACAAATTTGTAAATTACAAAGTTATAAAGTATAATTAAAAATTTTGCCATTAAAAATTACAAATATAGTTTTCAAGTTTCGCTTATTTATTTTCTTAATTGCCTATTCACAATTTTCATAATATTGACTTAAGCAAATATTTGGCGAAATTTACGGACGATGCTTAAACCAAAAGAAATATAAATAATTGAGAACATTATTCATGACAAATAATAACATGAATTTGTTTGAACAATAAATTGAACAATAAAAATTGAACAATAATTTTTGTTGATAAAAATACATTCGATATCATAATTATTAAATTATTTTAGCTTTTATTTAAAAAAAAAGCACTATGGGAATCTATGCATAGTTGCTCGGATACGATAAGTCACGCATGCCATGCATTAAAAAGTTCACTAGAGGAAGACTTTTGGTTATCAGAGTGAGGTTAGAGAAATTGTTAATAGCGATTCTTTGGATTTTAAAACGAGCGATCATTTCTAACATTCGTAAAACTTGAGGCTTACTGCATATACACCAAAAAATTGAAGAAAAAAATTCATAAAAATTCTTCTAATCACGAATTGATTCGAGTAAAAATCAAGTTATAGAAAAATTATTAAAACCAGATCTTGAACTCAAAAAAAAAGAATAATAAAAACATTTTTATTCAATAACTCAAAATGTTAATAATAAATGATAGTGATCTGCAATCTTCTTTCTGCAATCCACACAAATTTATATGGCTCAAAAAAAAAGATGAATTCAAGGTTCCTAAAATTACTTAAGAAACATATTACTTAAGATTATCAGGCCATTCAGGTACATAATAACGACGAACTGAACCCTCGAATAGTCGATCAAGCCAATTCGTGAGACCATTCAAAACATCTTCAATTTTTAATTGGTGACTTTTGCGAATAATCTGAATAATAAATAATAAATTGTATATTATAAAACGAAAAACAACTAAAAAATGAATATCTTAAATGGAAAAAAATCCTTTGAGAAGGCCAAAAAATTAGAATTCTATTTAAAAAATTCTTAAAAATAATTTTTTAGATAATAATGAATATCTACCTCTTTACGGTCTGATCTTTCATTGTCTGAATCATCTGATGATATCATATCACCATCGTCATCGAAACCAAGAAAATTTTTCCGCTTAGAAGAAGTGTGCATGGGATGATACATATTAAAATAAAGCTTCCACCCGCACAAAACAAGCACAGTTCCTAAGGTTCTTTTTGGATTGATATTATGAAGCCTCGAACTCAATGAAGATTGGCCTATAATATCAAACTCATAAATTTGCGTATTGTAATTAATTAATTATTATTGTAATTAATTAATTAATTAGTATTGTAATTAATTAATTATTATTATTATTGTAATTAATCCCATTGTAATTAATAATCTAATAGGAAACAGGCGAATGAAAATTAAATAGTTGTTTTTATGAATTTAAATGGAGATTTTATGATATCATTGAAAAGTTTATTAATCATTAAATAATACTGAAATCATCCGTATCGGCAGGCAAGGTATGTTCCAATAGTTTACGAAACCAATCAAGATTTTTTTCGACCATTAAATAGCCGAATGAAAACGTTTTGTTGCTGAAAATTCAAGAAATTTATAAAAATTCAAAAAAATGAAGAATATGAGAAACAAAAATAATTTTCCAAAAGACTACTTTCGGAACGGCCAAAGATAACTGGCAAATTGTGGCAGAAGAATCTCTTTAGATTCCGCATCAGTCAACACTATAATTGATCGACAACCAGGTTTCAGAAGTCGAATCATACCAAAATATGTTTCAGCCCTCAATTCATGTATAAAAGGTTGCATTTCCCGCATTATCCTGAAAAAAGTAGTTTTAGATTACTTAAAAATTTTTTGGATTCGGATTTTAGAATAATGAGCTGTAAGTTTTTTAATAATTTTTTCATAATTTTCTACCGATTACATCTAAAAAATGGTACAGGAACCTCTGTTGACGACTTATTTTCGTTCTGTTTCCTGAATTAACATGAGGATCCTCCGGATGCCACTGCTCTGCTTCTTTATCGGAGTGTTTTTTCCTATCCTATAACAGAAATATTATTCAGCATGCTGGAAAAGTCCCAAGATTTTCTAAAAAGATTTTCAAAAAAGTCCCAAGATTCTCTAAAAAGATTTTCAAATTTTTTATAATTATGGGACTACGATTACTTTATAAAAACACTAAAGAAAACCCAGAATGTCTTTACCTGATGCATTTTATCATTATTATTAACATAGCTCAAAACATATCCAACCAAAAGTATAACGAGAAAAGTGCCAACTGCACTCAATACCGGTAGCGCTTCTTCTTTTGTTAGATGAAACCAAGCAGTTTCAGTCATGCGAATGGCAGCTCGAGATAGACGTGTAAACCAAGATGGACGATATTCATCAATCTATAATTACCATCTGCTTTATCACTTTTCCCTGTGTTTTATTAATAAGTGCATAAAAATTTAAATTAAATAAACATGCTGAACATACCAGCTTTTGAATCGTTATTGCATTCTCAAATTTGATTGTTCCGCTTATAATTTCATCAATTTTATTCCTGAAATGGATTTCGTCCATACTTATTTGATTTTCATCCCATATATCATCGAGCCAAACAAATCGTGCCCGAGTATATTCGAGACGCCAAATCACAAAAATATTACGTTTATTACTCTGAAATATATTTTAATATATTTCAATAAATTTTTAAACCATTCGAAGATTTATGATATTCGTTTAATCTAACAAAAATATGTGCAAACGTAATATTTCCTTTTCTCTTTTCAAGAACTTTAAAAAAATTTTTGAAAATCAACAAATAAACATTTAAAATTTTGCAAATAACATAGAACTATATTGCATAATCATTAAAAACCAAAGAACAAAATAGAAAAAGGAGTAATGCAATTTAATATGACTATTTTAATTATAAATGAATAACTGACCAAATTATTTTATTGACTAATTTATGACTGATAGAATATATTTCAACAAAAATATGTTCTATTTAGCTGAATAAAAGCAAACCTTAAATGAATGATTAATCTGTAAAGCGCTTTCGAAGAAAGGTTTGATAAAATCTTCTTGTTTATTGATATAAATATAGGTAAACTGAAGTTCACTAGGCTTATTTACTGATTTAGCTCTGCGAACGAAATCTCGTAGAATATTTTCAAATTTCAAGTCATACGATGAATCCATTATGGCTAGCATAACACATAATTTTCGAGAAGCACGAGGTGAAATAGGACAAAGATCATCAAAATGTGCTTGAGAAGCAATCTAAAAATTAGATAAAAAACAAAATATATATATATGATAAAAAAGTCCGATAAAATTGGCCTCTTTCTCCAGTGTAGTCACCTCTCACTCCACATATTTCCTTTTCAAGAATTGGAAAACATAAATATAGACATATATTTGACATATGTGTTACGCCCAACTCTTTATATATCACCGTCTTGGTTATAGATAATCTGCACTATTAACAAATGAAGACTCCTTCTACCCAAAATGTTATCATTGTTGTTGCTAGTGTTAAAATAAATAGGATCCAATATATCAGCACAGATCCCAGCTTTTTTTCAAGTTCCATCTGAAGAGTATTGAAAAAAAAGTTCCAGAATTAATTCGTCAAAATTGGAATTAAAATCGCTAAAATTCAATATTTCCAACTTTTACCAGTATTTTTATTGTTCCTATGATTGAGATTTCGTAATGAAACAAAAAATACGACCCCCACTGGATACATGACAATCTATTCTCTTTGCCTTCGGGATATTCCTTTTATGTCCTTTATGCTCTTCGAGCATAAATATTTTTTTATTTTTCTTTTGAAACGAGGGAAAGGAGATTCTCAACTCGCAAATTCGAAATCTACTAGTGATTTCTTTTTTTTCATACTGCCACAGAATGGGTTCAATTTTAAATTTTACGAACTCCATATATTGGTTTGCATAAATTTACATTCTATATGCATTTTTTTTCCTGTTATTTAGAACTTCATTTAGATCTCATTTGAAGCTAATTATTTATTTAGATTATTTTGATACTAATTAATTAATTAATAATACTAGCGAAAATTATCTAAACAGAAGGATAATTATTGTAAGAAGGATAATTATTGTAATAATTTTAAAAAATTATTTTAAAAAAATAAAAGGTTCTCTCTCAGTAATCATTTACGAAATTAGAATATATGAAAAAAAACTTGAAAAAAACCCTCGGGAGAATAAGATGCTTATTGCTTTCGATGAAAGATCTAATTGAATCGACTGACATTTGATTTTGTTCCACAGAAAGACGTGCTACGGGTCCGTTCTGAAACTTATTTTCGTGAATGGCAAATTAAAAGCAAATCAATTCATAGAATAAACTAATAGATTAAAAGGATACCTGCGGGTAATCATTAAAGATAAGGATAGTATCCGAATTTAAATTTTTTATATCGAGCGCTTCACGCATTTTTGCAATTTCCAAACTATGTTCATTTAAATAAATATAGGCAAAACGAGCAAAAGTTGAATATTTCATAGCAGGCAACATGTAGCGCATTCTTGGCTCTTCTTTATTACCGAATATCAAAACCGATATCTGGAAAATATATTTTCCAGCCGTGAAAAGCAAGATATTGAAGAAGCAAGATATCTTAAGATTCATAAAAAAGTTTAACACTCTTTATAAAGAAAATGATTTGATTATTAAACCACTGCTAACCCAAAGAAGCAAACCTTATTTGTAGTTCGCCACTGATCGATGAATCGTCTAAGCCCAGAATAATTATTTATTCTAGCCAAAAAAACACTAGGGATAACATCGCGAGCAAATAAACGCACTGCTTTGGCCGAAAGAGCTAAAATTCACAAATATACTCACAGATAACGACAAATTCAATGAGGGGGATTGATATGCATATTATCGATGAATAAACTGGTTGCCAAATACTATTAAAGAATAAAAACTTATAGTTGTGATTATTAATTATTAACTTGAACATAGCGATGATTTAAAACTTTAAAATAAAGAAAGGCAAAATGTATGAAAGATGAAACTGGAATGTGTCTATGATCCTCATGAAATAAATGATGAAAAATGATATAAATGATTTACATTGCATATTTCCTCTATAATGTATTACTCGTCCTTCTACTACAACGACTATGGACGGAAGTCGAGAAACTCGAAGCCTTTCCAATAAATTACCGTCACTCATAGCATTTACTGTTCCAATGCCATATCCTAAGATATTAATTAATAAATCTCCTTTATATTTTTCTAATGAAAACAAAGAAACATTAATTAAATGAAATATTCTTGAAAAAAAACATTGTTTTGTCAGCGAAACAAGTTGCCGAAAATAATACCAGTGAAATGTGATAAATATAAAATAATTTGTTTGTTTAACAATAAAACAATTTAATGTACCAAGTGGTTCGATGTCTTCCACTACACTCTGCCAAACTGATTCGAGACGAAAACATAACTGACAATATCCAGAATAGGCAAAAATCATTACTGGACTGAAGTTACTGCGCTCAAGAATAGTACGTGAAAAAAGCCTGTTAGAAATTCTATGTTTTTGAAAAAAAGAGTTCCCACTATCAAAACCGTTGTAACCATATCCAAACTGCAATAAAGCAATTTTTTTTAATTTCGAAAAAAATTTAGATCCATTAAAAATGTCATAAAATGACGAATTAATAAAACGTCTATTTAAAATTTATAAATGTGCTTACAAATCCATTGAATGGATCAAAAGTATAGACATTCGTATTGACCGGCTCATCAAAAGTGCCATATCTGTCAAATCGATCCTTCCTTGAAGGATCTGATAGTATCTGAAATATTAAACATCAGCTATGAAGTGCTACTATACACTAAAAACCATATGGAATAATCGAAGATAATAACCTCATATGCTTGCGTTATTTCCATGAATTTTTCATTTGCCCCAGGATTACTATTCTTATCCGGGTGCCTGCGAAAAAAAATGATAGTGATGTAACTTTCAGATCGAAAAAAATATTAAAAAAATATTAATTTTAAGGTAATTTAAAATTTTTGTGAAAGAAGCAAGAATTAAAAAATTAATAAATCACTAACCATTCTTTAGCAAGAGTTTTATAAGCCGACCGTATTTCTCTGTTCGAAGCTTTTTTCGATAAACCTAATGTTAAATAAGGATCGTTAATTGTGAAAACCAATACGATATGAACTAAAATAAGTAGTACTTTTGTGCAACGACAATTCATTTCTTCTAATCGCTTGAATAAAATCAAGTCGACTTCATTCAAATATCTCCGCTAAAATTTGCCAATTTTAATTATGAATTATTTTGATAGAAATAGGTAGACCAAATATACGATTTAATCAAATAATCAGCTGTGGCGCATTTCAGCTATTTTAATTCATAACAAGGCAAATATGCTTGCATTATTGCACATTATCATTTTTTTTCGCTTTTAATTCCCCTTAGGTAATTTTTTATTTGTTTTCTCTGCCATCTCTAAAAAAATAATTTTTTTCCCCCATCAATAATTATCGCAATAGCAAAAAACCTATTTCATATTCTTAATAATTTATAACTATTAAATTATTTCTCGCATTTATAAATCTTTTTTTTTTCATCTCAATATTTCTATTAAATATAAAATAGCGTGCAAAAATATTTGTGAAGCATACGAGACTGAAAATTTCTCAGCTAATTACTATTAATAAAAATCAACAGCGTTTTTTTTTAAAAAACAAAGTTGATAAGAAGAAATTACCCGATTTACGAGATTTATTCCTTACGAGTTGTAGTTGAGTATTTATCAATAGCGCGAAATAAGATTCCTAATTTATGAAATTAAATTTATTGAAATATTAATTCGACATTTTCTGAAAAGTAAAGCCTTCATAAATTTATTTTTCATACAATTTATATAAATAATAAAAAAACGAACAATAAAAACTATAATAACAAAAATAATAATAAAAAATAGTAAAAATAATAGAAAATAATAAAAATTATATTTTTTGAAATTAAAATCGAAATATTAAATTCTTGAAAATTAAAATTTTAAAGAGAAAAATGCGAAAATAAAGAAAAACTACAGAAGGTCAAAAAAAAAATTTAAAAAATTTAATTCGAAAATTCCATGATTTAAGGCTAATTAAATCGCAAAATAAAAAATTAATTGAAATTAAATGAGAATTTTAAAATAAGAATTTTAAAATGCCAATAAATATTCCCTACGCATTTAGTTTCCTCGAAAAATACGATCGAACATAAAAACAATCCCTACCAACTTTAATTACAACAAAAAAAACAGAGCAAAAGCAAAATAAGGAGAAAAGCTATACCGTAAACAAAATATCGCTTTGGGACCAAAGCCATTTGAATATCTATTGTTAGCAATAAACATGTCGATCATCGCTTGGAATTTTGCAATATATGCGCTTATTTGCGGTTATACGAATTTTATTTCACCTCAATTATTTCCATATTATTTCATATTTTACAATTGAAGAATCTTTGATTATTTGCATTAAATGTCATTTAAAAATTGATTGATGAAATTGATAAAAATTGATAAAATTGCAAGAAATTTACCGAAAAACTTCAATTAATTAAAAAATATTTTAAATGAAGTTTAAATTTAAGTTTAAATTTAAATGAAATTGAGAAATTTAAGAATTTTAAAAAATAAATAATTTACAATTGCCATATATAATTTATTTGATAGAATTTTATAAAAAATTTATGAAATAAAAATTTAAAATTTAATCGATTTTAAATTTAATATTATTTTTTATATTTAAATTTTTTAAAATAAAAGCGTCGGTAAGAAATTTTAAAAAATTTTTAAAAAAATTTTTTCGGCATTTTAAGAATTATTTCATAATGGCGAATATAAAAATTTGCAAACATCTTTGGAAAATTTCTATTTACCGTATACAAACGCCAATAGAGACGAGCGACTGATATGGAATATAACAATAACAGCCAACTCTCGCTCCACTTTCTTGATGAGAGACCTTGGACGAGGTCCTCTGAAGCTTATTTTAATTTTCCAGACCTTTGGTTGAAGACCAGAGATTAGGAGTGACGCATATCACCCACAGAAAGCGGTGAGAGGCGAATTTTTTTATGATTCCTGTGATAATTGGAACACTTGGAATTGTGACGCTTAAAAAAATGGCTTCAGCAGATTCTAGGAACAACACAACATCGTCTAGAATCTTTGTCCAGAAGAGCGCACTATTAGGAACAGCTAATTGCACCGAATCCTTATTCCGTTGGGCCTCTGGTAGAGGAATCGAGATTGAGGATAATCTTTACTACTCATCAAAATTCAGTAAATTTTTTTAATATACGTATCGCGTTTTTAAGGATATTTATTTGCTGCTAATTACCAATATAATTATCAATATAGAAAAGATTTATATTGTTTGGATTAATTGATAAGACGATTCTCCATTTTTCACTTTGATTTTATAATTTTTTGGTGAAAAAAAAATTTTTAAAACCAATTTTTCAATATATAATAAAGCAAAATTTAAAAATTTTCCACCGTTTCATTATGAATGTATTTTCTTCGATATTTCTTAAAATAATCGTATAAATTTTAGAATTTTCGAAAATTTTATATTTTTTTATTTTTTAGCGCCATTTGTACTTTAAATTTAAATTTTTCTTCTTCATGTTGGTTAGCAACGAAATTTTATTCAAAAAAGAATTTTTAAATTAATAATTATTTTAGTTTAAAAAAATAACGCTTAGCAACAACTAAAAATATAAAAAAAAGATGAGATTTAAAAAATTTTTCATTCTCAATTTTCATTTTTAACAAAAAATAAAATATAAAATAGAACATAAAGAAGAATTTTTATCATTGCGGTGATACTTTTCGTTAGACCGACGTCTATAATTTCGTTTATTAGCTACTCTTTTGTAGTTTTTGAAACTTACTCAGCGATACGAACAGAACGTATAGATTTTACAATTGTAGGCTTAGGCTTAGGTGAAAAAAATTAAGGTTTTAATAAAAGATATAAGGTAGTTAAGTAGTATGGAGTGGATTAGCCTGAAAGACTACAGTAATACATTCAGCGCAATAGAAAATGATAGAGAAAAGCATCGATCTTGGAGGATTTAATACTTCTTAATAAGAGACAGAGTGAGAAATAGCATTGGCCGATAAAATTATAAAAATTCTCATACCGAATTACATGAAGAATGTTTGAATGAAAGATTATAAAGAATAAAATACAAAGATAATAAAAAGAAGTTCCATTTATCTCATTGATATTTTAGATGTAATTTTCTTAACTTTCTCTGTATTTTTTTAAGCTTAGCCACATGAATAAAATACGTATATTTCACATATTTTGACACATTTATCTTGTAAGAAGCATAAATACTTCGGTAAAAAAAAAGCTAAGGTATTACTAAATTAGAAAATATATATAGCATAAAGATGCTAAAGCTGGTATTAGTAAAGAATTTTCGCTAAAGGCTAAGACTCGACTTGATTTCACAGAAAATATGAGATAATTTCAGAGGGCCACATATTTGTAAGCTAATTTAGAATATGTTTAGAATGCTTACAGAAGTACCACAGGATTCGAAATCTGATAGGTTTTAAAAGTAGTTGATGATTAAATGATGAATAGCTTACAGAGCTAAAGTCTGATAATAAGTGAAAGAGATAATACAATGTTAATAAGGAGTTTATGAGAGGTGAATTTTCATAGGAGAAATTTTAGATATAGTTCTCACAGTTCCTTTGGTACTGAAAATGTAAATGAGTCGATGATATCAAATATCTGAGAAGTGATCGCTAGTGGGATCGCTTTATAATATTTTTCTCCGAACTATAGAAATTTTAATATTTCTTAAAATATTCAAATAGATTTCGGTTTCGGTTAACAGGCAATTTGCTTGCTATATTTATTGAATAAGTACAATTTTGATAAAAATTTTTAAATGAATTTAATGCTATTTAATAAAGATTAAATAGATTGAAATTACTGCACATCGCACATATTTTATTTTATTTTATCCTTTTTTGATGATTAATTTTATATATCTTGAAAAAACATCTTCTAATTTGCTAATTATTATATAAATGAATAGCTTATTTCGTCTTGAAATATTTAATTAGCCTTCTTGTTCGCTAATTATTAAACAGACAGTGATAAAATAAATGCTAAAGCAAGTGTCATTTTTATTGAAAAGAATTCATTCTTCGTGAAGATGCGAAAATGTTTTATCTTTATTTTGTTTCATTTTAGTAATTTTCGTAATTTTACTTATTACTTAAACTCTTTCCCAAGTCGTATGCTCTTAGTCTAGTAAAATTTATATATATTTATATATAATCACTGTATACTTAAAGGAAATTAACCGACTATTCATGTTATCATTTATCAGTTATAGTTTCCTTACAACAGTACTCATGATATCATTTATCAATTATAGTTTTGTTAAAGCTTTCTTCGCGATTATTCCAGGCAGATGAATTTTGAGGTCTCTCTTATAACGTGAATACAAATTAAATTTTTTGAGGTAGAAATAAATAGAAATAAATCAAAAAGCCGGTAGATCTTCTAGACTATATAAGTAGCTAATGTCTCGAATATTGGACGAATATTTATTTTATCGAAATCCTTCATTTAAAATTGTGCGAATAAACTTATGAACAAACTCATCTTTTTTTAACAGCTCTCTTCATTGCTGATTAGACTGACTTCGCTGACTTCAAAATTTTTCCTAACTATACACATGTTGCGCAGCTATTTTGTAAGATCGAGCAGCGATGTTGATGTGAATTTTCGTTTTAATGTTGATTTCCTCATTGTGAGAATCTCCTTTACAATACGTTTTTCTTAAGCTGGCTGTATTTCTTAAAATAAATAGAGTTAGAATTTTATTAAGTATCGTATTTTTTTCTAAGAAAATTCTCTCTTTTGAATCCTATAGATTATCGAATGCAATTATTAGCTTCTATTATTAATACTTCTTTTATAAGATAAAATTTATGACATTTCGTGTTCAAGAAATTTTAACGAAAATAAATAAGCTGTAGTGCTCTTTTAATAAAAATTGAAAATTTTCTTTGGATAAATGCATGTCACAGACAGAAAAAATCTCTTTGGCGTAATATAATGACTAAATATAAATTTATTCTTAAATTATAAGCATTTCAGCATTGCGAATTATCAAATGGAAGTTTCATGAAAATTCGGCATTCAATAGTCGACAAATGAACATGAAAATTTCATTTAAATTGAAGGAAATTTAAATTTTACCAAATATATCATTCATAATATTATTAATCATAGTTCATGTTTTGTAGAAATAAATTTTCAGTTAAAAGATTTTGAGGAAATTATGGATCAAATTTCTCGACCATGTGAACATATACCGGGCGTCTGTAAAATATGTTCCATGCCGACTGATGGGCCTTGTTTCATATTTTGCAAAACTTGTGCGATATTTGTGAATTTCATCTATGTTCAGAATTTGCAGACCAATTATCGCTTTGGTCTAAGTTTAAACAACAATAACCGAGGTTTTCCGTTTTTGCTATAAATATTAAATATTTCTTAAAGAAACAACTGAAAATCAACAGTATTCGATTCACCCGTATTTCTATCTCCAAGGGGCTCTCTGGCATATTTGTCCATTGAATTTTTTACTGCAATTCTGCTAGTTTTATGTAAAGAAAGAATTGCTATTTGAAGCAAACGAGTAGTATTTTAAACGTCAAAAAATCTGTGGACTGAGATTTCAAAACATTTCAAAGATCATTTCTAAGTGGTTAAATTAGTTTAGCTATAGCTATAGTGAGACATTGTGAGACATTTCCAAGTTTTCTGAGCTGGTGATACATTTGAAATTAATGAAAATCAAATTTTTAATCTCTGTGTTTATACATTGTATTCAAAATCTCGACGTTCAAGTTTTCATTTTTTTTTCGCTAACTTTTAAAAAACTTAATAAAATAATTTCTATACTAAGGGGTTATCCTCAATGCAATAAAAGTTGTATTCGATCAAGAAGTCCTACCCATTCGACAGACACTTAAAGCCACGAATGTTAAGGTGACCTCGTAAGATCTTGCATTTTGATTGACCATATTTCGCAGCCATATTACAAATTAATTTATACTGCAGCCAGGAAGATTCGAATTTTCGCTTTGATATTGATCTCCTGAGGATTCCATAAAAAGCTCGTCAAATTTTCCTATTAATTAAAGGTGAATTAAATCAAAATTTTAGAAATTAAACTGGATTATAATCAAATTACATCGCTATCAAAATCCTTAATATTCAATGAAACAGAAAAAAGCCACAAGAATATGGTTCAAACTGAATTTTCGACATTTTATCGATAAATTGGCTCATTTATGAAAAACGAAGATTTGTTGTTTTCCAATTTTTTTCCCACTTTGAATCATTGAAAGTTTTAATAATGAAAAAACAATGAAAATTCCAATGGAATTTTACCCCTGAAACTATATTTTTTTAGATGAAAAAAAAATTAAAAATGAAAATTTTATTTCTATTTAGCAAAAAATCGATTCAGCATGGAAAAATTCAGACGATAAACCAGTGACATCTTCATTCAATCTTCCACCATTACCAGGAGCAAATTATAAAGAGGAAATACCGTTTATAATGCAAATACTTAAATCGGTGAATCATTTTTTTTGACGACCCAACAATGCGATAAATTAGTTATAATTCAAAAAATAGATGTTTTTTAGCGAATACCATACTATAATATTTCACCTATGAATTACACAACAAATCTTGAAAAAATTATTGTCGCTTATAAAGCACTCATATCTGAGCGACCATTTCGACGTAATAATAAGTATCTTGGTAAATTTTTTGATTTTGAAATATAATGAAAAATAATGAAAAATGATAATGAAAAATATCGATAATTTACATGCTTTTTTTTTTATTTTCGAGAAATTATTTCAAAAAAATATTTTATCTTTTTGTATTTAGCAGCAGTATTTGCAATGCAGTTTCAAGCATTTTCAGTGGAAATATTTTTCAAATCTTTTATAATTTTCAACTTAAAATGAGCCTTTTCCTGAATAAGCTAATTCTTAAAAAACTCTTATTAACTGATGACTTCCTACAAGGAATTCTTCGATTTTTATCAAATGCTAGCAGATAATTTTCTTAATGAATTCTTTTAAAAGAGTCCTCACCATTATTGGTTAAACTCACTCCGCTGGCTTGTCGCATTGGACAAATACGCCGTTCCCTGGTGATGGAAGGATAGATGAGTTGCTAGCATCACCCGGATTTTTGGACAGATCTTCTCCTGTAGAGAATAGAACCTCAACATCGGTGCTTAGAATTGAGCAACAATCCACTGAACCATTCTATTCTCTATCTTAATGAATAATATACTGCTAACTTCTAGTGATTTAAAATTGGATACAACTGAATTAAAAAAATAATGCATTTTCATAAATTAAATGCAAATTTATAAAAATTACCAACTTATAAAATTTTTCAAAGGCGAAAATTGCGTGGAAAAATATTTATTAATCGAATTTATTCGCCAGATTACCGTAGATTTAAAACTGATTGCTCGATTCATGAATGAATTCTTCACGTTTAGAATGTTACCCATACAAATTAAGGTAATTTTTAAGAATAAAAATTTCCCATTTAGGAAATATCCTAGCTCGCTAGAAATAATCAATTTTATTTTATTTCTAATTTTTATTTAGGATTTCTTGATAATTTTTATATTATATTGTATAAAAATTTGGTTAACCATTGTTTAACCAACTAAATTTTAATTGCTTATTTTTATTCTTTTATAAGATTCGTATTGTAAAAAAATAATTTAGTGGAACTTCTTCAAACGCTTTTGGTGTTGTTTCTTTATGATTGATCGAAGCTACGACACTATGTGTACGCTTGGAACTGATACTACTGGTTAGAAATTTATATTTGTATTTAAATTTATATTCATGTATTTTTTTAAAGAGTCACCTTTTTTTTCTTCACCATTACTGGTTAAACTCGCTTTGCTTGTCGCTTGTCGCATTGGACAAATATGGCAGGGGAGACCCTTGGCGAAAGAAGTTCAGGTGAGTCGCAAGCATGAGCCGGATTTTTGGATAGGTTCACTCCTGCGAGGAATAGAAATCCTGCATCGGTGCTCCCAATGGAGTAATGACCTACTGATTGAGTATAAATTTGCATTCGCCATATTGCGTATAGAGAAAGTAAATTTCATTAAAATTACCGACTACATCAAGTAATAAATTTTTTTATAATTTCCTTTAAAATTCATACCATTACAAAATTACAATTAGAAGTTGGTTTACCAAATATAAATACAAATACAAAAATACAAATATTTATTTTTCTGTAAAATTTAATAATTTGTCGAAATTTGAGGCATTTTTAATCAAACACATTGGAAACAGCGTTAAGCAAAATATAGTTTTGAAATAAATATGGAGAATTGATATGATAAGTTTACTTTCCACAGCGCATTTTCTCTAATTTTCAAAAATATTTTATTCATTCCTAAATGTTATCATCGATTGTATTTTAGATCGGCGATTAGTTTTACAAGATGGAAAAATAGTAAATATTGATACACCTGATATAGATGAAGTGAAAAAAACTACAGATCGTAACTGTGATGATTTAATCAAGTAATTGCTTTTTTTTCTGATAAAATTTTTACCTATATTTTTTATTATAATATATTAAAAACGAAAGCAAATGGTCTATTTCACCTATAATTTTCAAACCATTATATTATAGACTGGAGAAGCAAATAACCGAATCGTTCGTCATTGCTGTTGTCAATAAGATTAAAATATTGAAGGTGAAAGAAATCGAGATAGCTTTTTTGCTTGGGTATCTTTTGTGGGATCGAGCAAGTAATTAATTAAAATAATTAATAATAAATAATAGAATAATAGCCAAATAATTAAATCAGAATCATTAAAATTAATACGATACGGATTAGTTAATTTAAAAATAATAGATAAAATAATAGAACCTCAGGCTTTTCATTGCGACAGTATAAGAAGCCATTCTTTTCCTCAACATTTTCATCCTCATGCACCACTGGTCTATCCATAAATCTATGCACCACTGGTCTATCCATACGTGCAAAATCCTTCTTGAATGCATCTGGTCCAGATCTTGATTGACCCTCCTCACTTTTGACATCAGTCATCACAGACTTTAGCAATGAAATATGTGAAGTCCTGTAGTGGACGAGAAAGAACCAGTGATGCTTTATGGTAATCTATAATGTAAGTGGTATTTGAGCGAATTGAGGAAATGCAATCATATGAGATTTTATCAGTTCGATGGGCCAGTAAAATTTATCTTAAATAGAAGTGGTGAAAGATAACTTCTTAATATCCTCCGTTCTCATTGGCTATATCTCGCAGGCATATTTAGCAAAATCGAGCGAATTGCAGCTATATAACACAGACTTTCGTTTTTGCAGTAATTTCACCGTTTAACAAGATTGCAAACAGAATTCTTTTTTTTCTGATTCCAAAGTGCAAAAGAAATAATTTCACCAGACGAAAAAAATCCTTCCAATGGGTTGTTATTCGGTGCGAGAATGGACTTAAGTTGGCATTTCTTCAATGGCCGATCTGCTTTTGAATCGAAATATTAACATTTGATATTCGAGATAAAAGAGCTTCATATTTTTCCGATCTGGAGGAGTCCGATTTATTTCTTGAAATTGTTATACGATCTGACATCTGATAGAATCCTTAAGCATCAAGAAAAAGAATTACAACGTTAGCGTAATCAAGATCTATAGATTGATTTGCATAGCCATTGTTTTCTTGCAAATAATTTAATTGAATAGGAGAGAATCTCAAAATTTACTATTATAACTTTTCTCCATAAATACGACTTAAAACATTCACTCAAATTGGTATTTCCTACATCGTTTTATTAATTCAGATTAATTTAATCTAAATCTTTTGCTAATTAAAATGTAATAAAAAATAAAATTTCAAATGAAATGACTACTTATTTGGCCGAACAAGAAAAAAGAATTCTGACAGAAGATTTGCACAAGTTTTATAAAAATATTGAACCGATTTATGCATGGCGATTATGTAAAATGATGGAAGTGATCAGCGCAGCAAATGTATATTATTTTTTATATTTTTTAACATTTTATTTTATTAAATTAATAAAAATAATCGAGCAAAATCAAAAAATTCTTTCTGATATGTGATTCGATAAAAAAATTTTTAGAAATTTTGTGTCGATTGAGCGATTGTTAACAAATTAATATTAATTTTTAATTGATGAAAAAAATGGAAATTTTTAATAAATATTTTCATTTATAATTTTTTCATTTAAATTAAATAGCTTCCAACTGATTAATCGGTCTACGAATGTTCACTTTGCAAAATATTTCAATAAAAATCTATTTAGGAACAGCTTATGAAATGGAAAGAAATGATAACTATGGCGAACATTTTCGATTTATATAAATATGATATATTGATGATAGAAATTAGCAGTCTTTAACTTTTACAACTCAAGTTTTTGGTATTTTAGTTACCCATTCTTTTGATTGCATTGAACTCCATATTTTGGTCTCTTATGAACAAAATGATTTGCATAATTTAATGAAAAAAATAATAAAAAAATAAATTTTTTTCTTAAACTTTAAAACAATTTTCAAAAATTGTGAATATCTTTTGAAAAGAACTTTTTTTTTATCCTACGAAATTTTATTGCATAATTTGGATAATTTTTTAACGAATTTTTTTATTTTTCAGGATCAATTCAAACAAAAGGAAATGTCGATGGACGTGATGGATTTGCGAAATTACGAATATTTCTACTAATTTGCTTTAGAAAAAATATTTTTTAGAAAAAAAATTCTCTAAATTAACTGAAATGAATCTGTTCTTTCATATTAACTTCGATTATAAAAGATAATTATACGAAAAATTTTTCTAAAAATAAATCGTAATTTAGCTATTAAATGATTTTCATCATTTTTTTTGTTTTTTTTTCTATTTTCAAGCATATTTTGTAGTTCTTTTATTAACAACAAATTTTTTTAGATTCGCTTAGATTTCATAAAAATGCTATTTTCCAATAATATTTTATTTCAATGTTAATGTTTATCTATTTATCGCCATTTTTCTTTGTTAATCTTTCTTCTTTTTTTGAATGGAAAATTTCTCTTTTCAAGTTCTTTGATATTATAAAAACTGTGGAGAAAGTTGTATTAATAGATTTTCATAAATAGAAACAACTCTATCTATTTTCATAAATAGAAACAACTCATAAAGTTTTACATCTTTGACTGTGCTTTTTAGAAAATTGAAAATTTTTTTTGAATTTCTTCTGCTCTATTTATGAAAATTGCAAGAAATATAGTTGTAGTAGGAAAATTCGAAAAAAAGCGATTTAATTTGGCTTAAAGGTTATACTAATTTGCATAATGAAAATGGAAAAAACGAGAAGAAATTCAGCCTTAAGCTTTAAAGATAATAATTTGCATATTGCAATATTAAGAAATTTTGTGCAAATCGAAGAAATATTCATCAAAAAACTGAAAAATTGAAATTTATCAGTATATCAAAAATGATATATAAAAAATATATCATTTTTACTGCGCTGTTTATTCGAAAGCCATTCCTATTTCTATTGGATTAATATTCCTCAAATTATCTATGAAAGATGTGCAATCTCTTCATCACCTTTTCTCTTTTTAATCGAAAAGGATTTATTTCTGAAATTATCACCTAAAATGCGTATTTTTCAAAATAAGAATAAGTCTCTAAACCCATTAGTATTATCTGCGCTAATAATAGAATATAGATTTATCAGAAGTAAATTGTATGCCCATTTTGAGGCAAACCTTGTTTTTCTTTATCATCATGGTTTTTGTATGAGTGACTTCACTATATTAACCACTATACTATGGAACTGTTAACTAATCATAAAGATTAATCTGAATCTGTTGAATCAAATAATTGCAATACCACCTAGACCAACTAGATCTGGTTGAAGCGCTTGACTTGGTTTTATATAACTATAATATTGAATATTATTGATAGCCTACTTAAAATTTTTTAACCCATTAAATAGCCAATAAAGTCTAATCAGAAATAATGATTGCCAATCAATTCTTCCAATCCGTTCTCTTTAGTTCTGCATTGTTTAAACATGAAATAAGAAATAATCTTTTTTCTCAAGTCTTGACCAATTAAAGGTTTCAAAAGTTTTGGGTAAAAGTTATCTCCTGCTAATAATGGAAAATTCGTCAAACAAATCGTTGTTCATTGCATTTAATTTATATAGTTAGAAAATGCCAATGAAATGTGTGGAAACGTATAGTAATTCGAGGAAAATTACGTTAAAGCTATCAAAAATCTGAACAGAGAGAGTTTATTTGAATCTAAGTTTAACTACAACCATCCAACTTGAATATATTGGCAACTAATTTTATAATTTTCGTTGATATGATCACACATGATATTTTGGGATTATTTAATGTATATTAACATTGGTATTCTGAATTTTTATCTTCATTATCATTATCAAAACATTATCGTCATTTGTAAAGAATGTCGTTAAATTAATTCGCATATTTAACGCATAATTTAATAATTATCAAATTATATTTTATAATTATATTTTTGCTATAAAAAAAAATCAGAAATTTTCTTTATAATAATTTGAGTCGATTTCTATTGAAATTTTATTGAATTGTCACTTAATTTTATGCATAAATAAGCAAAAAATTAAAATGCACAATGTACTTGCATTTGATATCATTTGATATAATAATGGAAAGAAAAAAAATGTGTCGAACAAGCAGAATCCTGAAGATTTTTTGGAAAAAACTCCATTATTAATGGCCTCATTACTTTTTTGCATATTTTCGATTGATGCATATATTTCCATCTTATTTTATGCTCATACCACTTTATTATTTTATCTGAATAGGCGATATTAATGAAATTTCAGATTTAAGTGTTTTTGAAACTTAAATTTACCCATATTTATTCCTTTTTTTTAATATCTTTCCTTTTCCTATGACATTTAAATATTGCAAAAATTTCGCTATCACTTTTTTCTTCGAATTGAACCAACTAAAAAGAATTATTTAGAATAAGTAAAAAGATTCGTCGAATTAATACAAAACCGAAACATTCATGTAATAATTGGCATTTAAAAAAAATGAAATTTTTCTTATATGGCTGCAGTGCAAGAATAAATCTTTTTCTGAAACCTTGAAATCACCATCAAAATGAAGTTTGCATCTATATGGCAATAGTTTTACAAATAACAATAAGAGAAGGCTATCTGCTTTTCTTGTGATTTTTCACTTCCTTCCTATATAACCCATATTCTTCATAATCAGGATGTCCTAGCGCATGATTTCTTCCTCTGTCAAATTAATGGAGACGATGGTAAAGAAAATCGTCATACAAAGCGTTATTCGCAATGGTTTCGTCATTTTTTTCATCCACCAATGGAATTGGTTATCTCGTTATTTGCCAACTATAATGGGTGGTGCCAAAAGAGAAGAAGGCCAATCAAAACCTAGATCGATACGGTTAGAAGGAATTTTGGGCGAGTTGGTGATCCAGCGCTTGAGTGGAAACAGTATTAGTTACATTCAGGATTAGTATCAAATGGTGTGAGTTTCTAGATGAGGAAACTGCACTTCATAAGGTTGAAGCAATTTTTTAATGATTTTTAATCCGTTTGGTTTAAACAACAATCAGCTTCTGCATTTGGAAATAATCAAAACTTAATATCAAGTTCTCCGAGCGTGCTTTTTCTGTTCTATTCAGCTGTAGTAAATTCATTCCAGACTGCTTGAGCAATGTCATGTTCAAAATAGTAACAGTAATTTGCATTTCTTCTTCTTCTAAC